TCACCGTCATCACCACCACCACCATCATCTGGACACGACCACTGCTACGATTGTCGTTATAATAACCCTTACTAGTAGTTATGGATTTAATATCGAAGAATAATTAGAAGTAAAAGAAATGAAGTCACCTTTGGTGAAAAAGGAGTTAAAATGACAGTTAAGGAGTAAAAATGCGGGTAAATAAAGTTACCCAAAAGTAAAAAGTAAAATTATAAATATTACCATAAAACTATTCTAGACTAGTGTGCAAAGTTTGGTAGGGAATGAAGGTGTGTAGATAGATAAGTTGTTACCCAGTCAAAAAGTAACTTCAAATAAAGCCTTAAGAAAATCGTGACCTTTTATTTTCTTCTCCCCGTGCGTTTGGTCACTGTCGTCTTTCTCCCTTAGAAGGCATCTTAGGTTTCATCTTTGTTTTCTTTGATTCTCCATCATCAATCCTCCAAATCACAAAGTCGACTACATGAAATCGATTGTAAACCACTCAATGAATCTATTCCACCGATCAATTTGAGCTATAGTTGAGTGTGTGAGGAGTTCTTCCTCCCCCCATTTTCGAGTTACTATTCACCAAGGGAAAAAAATTGTATTATGGGAGGAGCTTTGCTTGGAGATGGCTTCCTAGACCTTGCACAAGCTATTAGAGGTAATAAAACTCTACTTCCATGATAGTATTTTGATGATTTGAGCCATGAAAAATTTTGAGCATGTGTGGGTAGAAGATTGGTTAGTTTAAAATGTGAAATGATGATTTATGGTGTATGTTTTGGAGATAGGAATAGGAAAATAAGCTTTTGTATGTGAAAAAAATTGAAAAGCCTTATTGTACCTTCCTCCCTAGGTTTAGCCATGATGGGTTAAATAGGGCATGATGTGCAAAATTTTATTCTATGTACTAGGAAGGTATAATGTGATGGATTAAGTATAAATTTGGTGAATTAGTAAGAAGGCCAAAGTGGAAAAAAAAATCCTATATGTTAGGTCCCTATATTTCGGCCATGGTATGATTGTGAAGGACTTGATGTTCCAAAAATTTATTGGAACCTTTTGATACATATATGTATGTTAAGTTGCTAAGTAAGTGAAGAAAGTATAATGAAAACGAAAAGAACTTTTGCCTATTCCCTTGTAGATTTCGACCTATAGGGTGGTTTAGGGATGGAGTTAGTTGCACATTAATAAAATGCATAATTTTTCAATGTACGCAATGGATGAGTTAAAGAAAGAATATGACAAAAAAATTGTTGAAAGAAGGCTTGTTTCCCTTTAGGGTACCCACGGCCTTAAGGAGAATAATGGCATTAAATATGTTAAAAATTCTCAAGTGGGTAATTAGTTAATGTAGAGAACGTTAACAATTATAAAATAAAGGAATTATGAAGGAATGGTCTTGACTTGTGTATTGGCATAAGATTGGCAAAAATGTAAAGGAATGAAAATAAGCGATAAAATGTATGCCTTATGTAAGGATCATGACATAGTATCATTTTATTGATTTTGTTGTGAATTCTTCTCTAGGTGCGCCTAGGAATTGAAAAGGAATGGAATCTTATTGAAATTATATAAGTAACTTGTGCAACAAGTAAGCTCTATGTTTAAGGATTCTTTTCCTACTTGAGTGCTCCACCATGGTTGAGGAACTATGGTTGGACTGTATGACTGTTGTTTTGATGCTTTGTATAGATGCATTCATATAGAGCTATGTGATAACATGATATGACTTGTTCTGATATGATTTCTGTAGTGATGTATGGTACACTGATGTCTTCTTGGGGTTTCCCTGGGATTGACGATGTACACCTCTGACATGTTCTGGTTCCGCTTGGGGTCCTCTCTTGGGAACACGTGCGTTGATTTCCGCTTGGGGTCCTCCCTTGGGAATGACGGCGCACGCCTCTGCTGGTTCCGCTTGGGGTCCTCCCTTGGGAACACGTGCGTTAAATTCTGCTTGGGGTCCTCCCTTGGGAATGACGGCGCACGCCTCTGCTGGTTCCGCTTGGGTTCCTCCCTTGGGAATGACGGCGCACGCCTCTGATATGATATGATATGAAAGATGTTCTGTTCTGTTATGATATCTGTTATAAATGCATTTGTATACTCTGTATCTGACTTTCATGCAAGAGTGAGCCAGGGGTATGGAGAATTCTCTATAAACCTGGAGCTTATTGAGATTTGTAATCTCACCCCTCTTTGGGGACATATTTTCAGGTGCCCAGATTCCCGGTGAGTCCTCACTAGGCAGAGACGCGACCCGTGGTTGAGGCGTTGGGGACGGATCAGTTTTTGAGTAGTTGTAGGCTGCTAACTTTTTGGAGTGCATTTATATTATTTCGTATTTTCGCATTTGATGGATCATGATGTTAGATCCTTTACTTTGTATATGGCCTGTATATGTCTTGTACATGTTCTTCAGTTTGATGCATGTACATTTTTGTATTCAGGCATGTTGATATGACTATGTAGTATTCAGTTATGTTTATGTATTGGATTACATGCTATCAGATTAGCGGCACTGAGCCAAGTTATGCATGCGCCCATGGATGAGTATCTGATTATATTTGCATGACTGGTACTTCTGGATTGATGTGCTGTATAAACTGTTTATCAGGAAATGCTTCTGAGTGAGATTGGAAAATCCCCAGTTGTCTGATTTATAGAGGAAACTCTGCTCGATTTTCGTTTACGCCGAGTAAGAATTAAAGTGGGAAAAAGATGTTATCAAAAAAAAAAAAAAAAGTGGGAAAAAGAAAAAGTTAGCTCGTATTTTCGTAAGTTAAGTCTTCCGCTGTTTCTGTTTATATCATATGCATGTTAATTGAACCGGTTCGAGACGGGGATGTTACAGTCGTCGCCGTCATCGTACCACCAGTATCGTCATCGTCACCACGACGATGCCACCGCCACATCACCGCCACCTCCACCCACTACCACCATGTCACTATCACCACCACCATTACCGTCACTGCCACCACCGCCACCACCATCGTAGTCACTGCCGTCACCGCCACAAGTGTTGTCGCCGCCACCAGCGTCGTCACCGCCACCAGCGTCGTCGCCGCCACCATTATCGCCATCACTACCACCACCACCATGCCACCATCACCAACCACCACTACTATCGCTGCAGCCACTGTCGTTACCACCACCACCATGTCATCACCATCACCACATCACCCACCACCACCATCGTCGCCACAAACACCACCATCGCCGCCGTCACCACCACCACCACCACCACGCCATCGCCATCTTTATCGCAGTCACTATCGTCACCACTACCACCATCATGCCATCACCACTACTATCACCACGGCCATCAACCACCACCACCAACGTCGCCGCCATTGCGACTGCTGCCATTATCACCATCGCCACTATTACCCCCACCACCATCAAACCATATGGAAAGAAAAGTGATGATCCAAAACAATTGTTTAATAGAAATTATTTTTTATTATATTATTTGTTATGTTATCCAACACAATTCTCATTTTCAGAATAAAAATAGAACATATTATCAAACACATTTTTTTCTTCTCAAAAACTGTTCTGAGACACAAAATTAAAATTAAAATTGTTTCCTTTCAAAAACAATGTGACGGAATAAAATAATTATCATGCAAACGTGTAGCTGCCCATGGTTTTCTCTACCACTTGCCTTGAGCATGTGCCGTACACAGTCGTTTTGAAGGCCCACAGCACACCGTCACGGATTGATGTTAATATTTTGTTAATGTATTATTTGTCTACCTTCTCCTGGCATTTAATTTGTTAAGGGCATGATTAGATGAACTTTCAAAAAAAGTACTTTTTATGCATTATTTTTTTAAAAGATCAAGTTATTTTATGTTTTAGATGTATGATCTGAACATCACTTTTATATAAAAAAATTATTTGAATATTAAAATAAAAAACACTTTTATATATAAAATTACAAAAAGGATCTATAAAAAAAACTAGCAACTTTTGGGATTTACGTAAATGAATATGTGATTGCAATATCAAAAAGGACGTTCCACAAAATGCTCCAATGCTATGAGAAGATGTTTGATTGTAAAGTGATAAATTGTTAAAAGACCTAACTAAAAATAATAGCATTATAGTGAGATAAGGAGAGATAAAATAAGTATGATAAGATAAAGTAAAAATTATATTTTAAAAATTTATATTATCTTTTAGTTTCTGTTTTTTCAAAAGTAACCAATTATTGATTTAAAAAAAAAATAACATTTTAACTTTTATTTTAAATTTTATTTTAAAAAAAATTATTATCCAAACATCTAAAAATTTTCAAAAAGACTTTTTTATAAAAAAATAAAAAAAAAAATTTTAGGAATAAAAGCTTATCCAAACAGACATTAAGTACCATTATCGTTAAAGACATAAAGTAATGCTAAGTTAGTAAACTTTTCGTTAATATTATCGGTGGACTTTCATCGGTTTTAAGTTTTGAGTTAAAATTTTTTTATACTACATAAGAAAAATATATTTTCATACACACCAAATATGTGAATATTGATGGCATTGCACGTATTATTGAATAAAATAAATAAATGATGACAATAAAATATATAAAAAATATGTAAGTAAAATTGTTATTTTCACAAATAAATGCCACCTGTTCAAGTATGTATGTATGTGTGTAGATGATAGATGAGAGGATGAACTGTCAAGCATGCAGTGACTCTGTGCGTGAACTGTCTAGCATGCAGTGACTCTGTGTGAAAACTGTCTAACATGCAGGGACTCGCGGAGAAGCAAATAAATGTGTTTTTTCTTGAAAGCAAAATAAATGTCACTCTGCATATACATGTGAATAAAAATTCAATCATAGTTTGTCTTTTTTGTTTACAATGCTTGTTAATGTATAAAAATAAAAAAAAATAAAAAATAAAAAAAAGGGTTTACATTTGTTATTTAACATGACACAACAAACTTTCCTACACACACAACATTTTGTGGGGCCCACACTTTTTGAAGAAAAAAGAAAAAGAAAAAAATATTGCACGCAAAACGAATCTCTATAATATTAGATAATCACTTTTCCTACGACATAACTCTTATAAAACTCAAAAATAAATCATCCATGTTAATTGGACGCAATAAACTTTGGGTCCGTCGCTTCTCATGTGACTGCTGATGAGAAAAGTTACAGCAAATTTTTAACACTAGGATACACGTGCGGATTCTATAAAAAAAAAAAAAAAAAACAGGATTCGGACGCGTATCCTGATAAAAGAAAATGTTGCTGCACTTTTTGCCTTCTGCACTCAGGTAAGAAGTACTTTCCCCATAAAGTTTACACTAAAATTGGATAAATTGTGGTAGCAGTTAAAACTTAAAAGGGAATGGAATGAGACACACCGCATGAAGACTCTGATCACCACATCCTCCGTACGCGAAAGGAAACAGGATTGCATGCCAAATTGAAGCTGAAAAAAAATAAATTCAAACAATGAGTTTCACCAAACATTTAAGGTAATGGTGTATAAACAAGATAGCATTACTCACCAAAGGAAAAAAAAAAAAAAAAAACAAATAGAAATTTAGTACTAGCATAATAACAATTGCATAAGTCTCGATCATATTTTTATGTATTTTCATGCGGGTGATTTCATTTTAATTGATCAGAGTACTAGCTTAATTGAATTTTATTTTTGACGACTCACCGCAGTTCATGAAAAGAAAGCAAGCTGGAAAGCATTCTGTTCAGAAAAGAAACAGATGGTATTGGTATGAGAGGAATTATGAATTTTGTTTGTGATAGAAACAAGTACATTGATGTTATTGCCTTGGGAAAGTGGTATACACATACCTGAAACAGCACAAAATTAATGAGGTAGAGAATAGGTCTAGGATTGTTAAACCAGAAGAGGTCATCCCCAGGCTGCACCACTGATACACCCTTTACGACCTCTCCTTCTTGTTGAATTCTAAGACCCATCTTGGTTATGATCACTTGCAACTTGGTTCCAATTAGCAAGACCATCTGCATTTTGGGGACATTAATTATACAAAATATCATTAACAATCCCTATCTGGACCCATAGCAGAAGAAAAATGTTCATCATATATGTGTTAATTAATTAAGCTAAGGTATTACATGTGCTTACGATCAAAGGGACAAATGGCAGCCACAGATAAGAGTACCAGCCTGTCCATGCATGAATGACGCAAGGAAAGGTAAATACATTGCAGACAATAATCAGTACCAGCCTGTCCACGAATGATCACACAAAATTTACTACACACAATATTTTGAGACTCGCATGGAATCGACACAATCATTTTTCCTAAGATAACTCTTATAAAATCCACAGTTAATTATACTATAAACTTGCAAATCAAATTATGACAATCGTATACTATAAACTAAGCTACATTGATAACAACGAAGCAAACTAGCTCTCTCATCAAACATAACTTGTCCTATAGAAACTTTCTTTTTTATATAAAAAAGAAATTAAAGTACTAAAATAAAGTGATCTAATGAATAAAAAGAAATAGATAAATGGCACAGATCGAATTTCGCAGAAAGGCAAAAAGAAACGACTTTTCCTTCAACAACAGTAAGAAAGAAGATTCATTCATTTCATTCACAGCTACAAAATAGCAAGTGGGAAAGGGGAACAAAAAAATAAAAATAAAAAACGCAGCGTTTTGAATGGAGAACCGAAAATTAAGCGCTTAGGGTACGGATCAGAACTACAAATCCAAAAAGGATCGGAAACCTAAGTTATCGGATCCTAAAATCAAACGCCACCGCCAGATTTATAGCGGTAGAGCTTCCCGAACACGTGGAGGGCTGTCACGAAGCCGATGAAGCAGAGGCTCATCACCAGCACCACCGTCGGCGAAATCTTCAGCCCAGGGGCGTCGTCCGTGTAGAACCTCAGCATGTTACTTCCGGCGCCGGAGCCTCCCCCGCCTCCGGCGGAGCTGTTTCCGGCGCCTCCTCCGCCGAGACGGCGGCGGCGCATGCCGGCTGTGGCGGCAGCAGATCCGCGGGGAGCCATGCCCCCTGGTCGCGTGGGTGCAGAAACCGCGGACTGAGATTGTGAGGCTCCTCTGGCCATGTCGCAGAGTGGTGGAAATAAAGAAGAAGCAGAAGGAAGAGGAAGAAGAAGAAAAACAGAGGCGTTGAGAAATGGAAAAGGGTTGCAAATTAGAATGGTTTAATCAAAATTGGTATTATTTGAGTTTTTAATATTTTGTGCTTATCCTGGTTTTTTTTATTTAAAAAAAATGGATCTTAGAAGAAGTTGGACTTACAAGTTACAAGTGGCATCTTTACTCTTAGAAGGAAAAATATTTTCTGTGCCACGTATATATTCGGTACATTTTTATTAAATATAATAAAAATAATTTACTTATGTTACTTTTTTATTATTATTTTTCTCATATATATATTTTTAATAAGGAAGTATCTATTCCTATTCCTATTGCTTAAAAGGATGGGAAGGATATTGTGACAACCAAGTTGTGTTACTACCAAGTGACTACCAATCAATCTCACGGTTAGATCGATTATGTGGATCCAACGGTTATATTTATTTTCATCTTTGTATGGTCATGATTCTCCATATTTAAAGTGAAAGCATTAAATATGAGAAATCATAACCATACAAAGCTGAAAATAAATATAAAGTATTAAATTTGAGAAATCATGACCATACAAAGATGGAAATAAATATAACCGTTGGATTCATATAATCGATCTAACGGTAAGATTGATAGGTAGTCACTTGGTAGTAACATAACTTGGTTGTCACAATATCCTTCCCCTAAAAAGATAATATAAAATCATGATGTTAATTTTGACTTATTTTTCTTGTAGACGACTGCTTTAAAAAAAAATGATATATATTGTATAGAAATTTGATTACTCAACAACTCTAATATCTAATATGTTGATTGGGAATAGATTTTTCCGTGTCTTTGATGGGATTAAAGGTCAATTAGTTTCCACCCACCGTAATTATGCACCGGCACATCTCTTTTAGTCTTATGTAGTATTAAACAACTTGTTAGTTGAAATTTTTAAATTAGTTTATTTTATGTTTTTCATAGAAAAAAAAATAACATTATTGCTGTGTTAAATATCGTAGTTGCATTATTGTTAAAAAAATTAAAAAATAAACTGACCCATCTCACAAGTTAAATGAATTAGCTTTTTAACCTATATGCTAAATGAATCAAGTTAAAATTACAATGCTAATATTTTTGAAGATCTACCTATTTATATTTAACGGGTAAATAGCTTAACCAGAATTTTTTAAATTTATTTTTACAAACCTACTTATATTTTGTACAAACTTGATAAAAATTACCTCTTACGTGATTTACTATTTTTTTGTGATTAGGTATGACAAGCGACATACTTGATTTGATAGTTTGATCCAATAAAATTTGGGAAATTATATTCTTATGTTAGATAAGATTCATTTCTCATGTTATACTAACATAAAAAGATGTGCCTCACTTTTTTTTTCTTTTTTAAAATTGGTGGACCCCGCTTAATTTATCTCACAACATAACATAACTTCTCTCTTACAACATGAGAGAAGTAAAGCCCATCAAATTTAGCCCCAATAGTTAGAGGCTTAGAAGGTATCCAGAGGCGATGAGCGCAATGTTCTCATTGTGTGTATCATTTTCATTATGCGGACCATCCTCATGGCACAGACCATGCTCATTGCGCAGACCATCGTGCTAAGCGCAGTGTAAATCTTAAGGATTAAGGAAAATCATAGGGATTTGATAAGGTCCATCATGCATAAGAGCCACTATAGATGGGACAGTTCCAGCTTACCACTACTTTAAGGAGACGGACTAGCATCTAAACTTGTTCATTAAAGAATAGCTTGAAGCGCACCAACTGTGACAGAAGGGTAGCCACCCTAAATCACTGCTAAGAAGAGATGTCGCCCACGTAGGACGACACATAGCACACTATAAATACAGAGACATATCTTAGTTAAACATTACACACCTCGAATTCATACTAACTTGAGAATCTGAGTGTCTTGGCAGGTACCCTCTCCAGTTATTTCCATTGCGCCAAAGCTACAACTTAAACACTTCAAGAAAAAGCCTACCACTATTGTACCAAACTATCTTGCAACAGCCTTGAGACCCACAATCTTCAACCTTTAACTGTGTGTGATTTGACACATCCTATCTTGGACCAGATATATCAATGGTTGATCATTAGATTAATTCTATTTGTTGTATATAATATTTTTTTTTTTTGGTACATTGCCAGGAGGTATCCCCATTCAACCTTATCCGGGCACCATGCCCTCGGGGTACGGCCCGTTTGGGCTAGCCCCTCATTGTAACAGTGGGTGCACTAAGCTTCGCAACCAGAGAAAGGACGAGACTAATCCCCTAATCGAAGATTTTTTGGCTTATCCTCTAGCCCCCAAAGATTTTTTAAGAAACTGCTTGAGGCAGGATTTGATCCCAGCACCAAGCAATCCCTTGGGAGCTCAGCTGCCAACTGAGCTACCCTTGGGGGTTGTATATCATATTTTATTTTATATGTATTATATATTATTATATAAATTTAACTTAATCACAGTTAACATTGACGGTTGGTTGAACTAACAACTCGTCGAACGACCTAATTTAATTTATTTTATTTTTGGTTGCAAAAGACCTAAATTTTTAACGTATATATATCCTTTGACACTAGTGTCAAATTTGAAATTTGACACCTCATCTGAGAGTCATTAGATCAAAAAAATTAATGGCTCTGATTTGTAAGCATGTGATACCATTGATCTTTTTTGATCTAACGGCTATAAGATGAGATGTCAAATTTCAAATTTGACACTGATGTCAAAGTATCTTACCGCATATATATATATATATATATATATATATATATATATATATATATATATATATATATAGGTAGGATCATTTGACACCGGTGTCAAATTTCAAATTTGAGACCTCATCTTATAGCCGTTAAATCACAAAATATCAACGACTCTGATTTGTAAACATGTGACTCCATTGATCTTTTTTGATCTAACGGCTATAAGATGATGTGTCAAATTTGAAATTTGATACCGGTGTCAAATTTGAAATTTGACACCGGTGTCAAATTTGAAATTTGACACCGATGTCAAAGGATCTTACCTCATATATATATATATATATATATATATATATATATATATATATATATATATATATATATATATATATATATATACTAAAAGTGGAAATCACCGGTTAAACTAAAACAACCATATAGTAATTGATGAACTGCTTGGTAGTAGAATGGTTAGTTAAATATTAAATTTTTATCCAACAAGAAAGAAAACTCCAAGCTTTTAAAATTAAATATAAGCACATAAACTAGTACTATGTACGTGGCTGGTCTTGATGAAGACAGAAATCGAAGTAACCCAAGTGGGGCTGATAGTTGGTTATAGGGAACCGAGAAAGGTGAAGACAAGAACCATGATTATAATTTATATTGGGAAGGGCCGGGGTAAAGAATACTGTAATCCAAAATCACTATCCTGAATTTTGAATTAGTCCCATAAGCAAGGACATTAATATTCAAAAAAAAGAATGAAATTGAAGTTCAAACTACAAAGTTGAATCCTTCCACAAATGTAATACATGCATTAGTATCACCACACCAGGTTGCTGAAAAGGTAGCTAAGAAGCTAGAAAAGGGATGAGTTGTGGGGCGTAAGGCGAAGATGAAGAGGTGGACCATGCAAGGCACGAAGACGCCGTGTGGTACGGTCACGATTGCTATGAGGCTTCTCATTATCCCCAACCCTAACATGGTGAGCTATTGTAACCCACATCACAACCACTACCAAGCACACCATCGCATACCAATGTTGAGTTAACCTTCCCAACAATTCCTTCAACATTACCATTTCTCTTTATCACTCACTCCCTAATGTTTAAAACAAAAAAAATTGGTTTGCACTCAACACAGCAATAGTATATTATATATCTAGAGAGAGCAGCTAGCAACAATCATTGTCAAATTGAAAAAGGTGGGCGCCATCTGTATTCTTGCTCTGCCACCTGTTAGTCAAGGAGCACAACAGTGGATGTATTAGTAAATATAAAAATTCTCGTTCTAATATAATCTTTTCCAATAAACAATAAAGACATTTAGATATTTCCATGTCCAAATATCATTTGTTCATGTATTTGTTTAAGTAAATAACTTTTATTTCTGGAAGTAAGATTATCATATGCAAATATATATTTTCTTGTAATTTTTTTTTTATTTTATAATTCGGACTGATTAATGAGTGGCATGAAAAACTAATAAATTGTTATGGTCCTCAGTTCGAATAATATAAAAAGTTAAATGACAATAGAAGTAGAGAACTAACCAAATTAGTTTAAAACTAATAATAAAGGAATTGATCTTTTTATTCACCTAAAAATATTTTTTGAAATAATATATTTAATAATCGCCTATTCAATTATAATCTAAGAAGATCATATCTCACTACTAAAAAAACATCAATTAGAGACGGAATAATTCCGTCACTAAGTGAAATATTTTCGTCACTAAATAGATTAGTGACGAAATTAGGGACGGACAAAAATCCGTCACATTATGGCTCGTCACTAACAGGTAGAGACAAAATTATGAATCTGTCCCTAATAGAGACGAATTCTAGGACGGAACAAATCTGTCTCTATCTGAGACAAAAAAAATTATGTCACTATTAGAGATAGAAATATTTCTCTCTCCGATAGTGATGGATAAATCCGTCCCTATGATATTATTTTCTGTCACTAATTTATGCAAGTGAAATATGTGTAATCCGTTCCTATTAGGGACGGAAGTTGTTCGTCTCTATTAGTGATGGATTTTTCCCTCTGTGTTAGTGACAAACAATTTTTCGTCTTTGTTAGTGATGGATAATTTTCATCTCGGTTAGTGACGAATATTTTTCCTTTCTATTTGTGATGGATATTTTTCCATCTCTGTTAGTGATAGATTGTTTCTGTCTCTGTTAGTGAGGGGTATTTTTTTCTCTATTAGTAATATATTATTTCTATCTCTATTAATGACAATGTTTTCCATCCCAATTGGTGACATATATTTTTGTCTTTATTTTTCGTCCCTAATATTTAATTTTTTTTTCAAAATCAATTACATTTAAAATTTAATTTTTATCGAAACCTCG